GGCGGCGGCGGCGGGGCGCGGCGGCTGCCCGGCGCGGGTGCGCTCCGGCTGCCCGGTGCGGCGAGCTGGCGTCGGCCCGCACTGAGCTGCTGTGGCCCGGCGGCGGCAATAAATAGCGAAGGGCCGTTTGTTTTGGCAGGCGAGCGGCCGCTTGCGGGGCGCGGGGCGCGGGGCTCGGCGCTGCCGGAGCCCTCCGCGGTTTGCGCCTCGGCGGTCAGCGCGGCAAGGCTGGAGCCGGAGCCGGAGCCGCCGCTGCCTCGGCTCCCTGGGCAGGAGTGAGAGGGGAAATTGAAGAGATCCGGGACCGGGAACCGCCAGGACCGCACCCTGCCCGTGTCCCAGCCTCCCAGCGCCCTCCCTCTCTCGCCTCCTCCCCGCGGAACCTGCCCCGGGCCGCCCGCAGCCTCCTCCCCCCTGCCGAGCCCCGCAGCCCACCCCACCGGGGGTGCCCGCCGCCACCTGCCCCCCGGGGCAGCCCCGCCGCCGCCCCAAGGTGCGCCCGGTCCGCCGCACACCCTTCGCCCCCCTTGGCGGGGCGTCCTGCGGGGCTCCCTCGCCGCCGAGTGGGCGCGGGTGGCACCCCCGGGGCTCCGGCCCCCGCCGCGCCGCCTGCTCGCCAGGGGCCCGGGCCTGCGGGCGGGGATCAAACAGAGCAGGGAGGCAGCTGGTTGAAATTTAACCACAATATTCTCGCTCCCCATTGTTTCCAGGGAGGCCCGATATTTCCACAACAGGATTATGGCATCTGATTAACTCGCTGAGACAACAATGAGGGGCTGGGATGGGCTTCCCCTTCTAGCTGCCAAAAGGGGAAAGTAAATATAACACCCTGATTTCAGGAGCGAGGGTTTGAAGGCCCCCCCCCGGTTCTCCCCCAGCTGTGTGCCGGGGAGGGGTCCGGCACGGGTCCACTTGAACACACTCTGGTTCCCTAGGATCGTCCCAGGTGAGGCAGTGCCTTGGGATGCCCACACGCACACAAACTCTTGCAGGGATGTTTCCTCACCAGCTCTTCTGTGAGCGCAGTGCACAGGTCACTCACAGGGATACACAGTAGCCAGGATGGAATAGCCCGGCCAGACATCCAGCTCTGGCTGCAGGGCTTTGCTGCTCTCAGCGGGACCAAGCAACCTGGGCAAGAGGGATGCAGGCTGGGGAGCCAGCATCACCCACAGATTTGGGATGCTGCTATCTAATGCTCCCAGCAGACCATTTCCTTTGCAGGAGCTGCAAGCAAAGTGCAGCTGACCAGAAGTGTCTCCATCAGGCTTTCACACGCAGTAGCCACGGTCCCTCAGGTTTTTGTGCTGGTTTTCATACTGCACACCCAAAAGCAGTGCCCAGGGCCTCTTTGAAGACCTGCCGCTGAGCAGGATGGTGAGATACAGCTGCCCCACTGTTCCTGCACATGATGGAGCAAGGGTGTCTGGCCACCAGCCCCGGGCCACCCCACTTCTACACTGCTTTAGCTGATCCTTCCAGTGGAGCGTCCTAAGGGCATCAGCAGAGAAAGCAGAGGGGATGTACCACAGCACCATTCTCCACCCCTGCCCTTGGCTTCTCCAGGATACAGAAGGGACACAACTCTCTGTGCATCACTAGCACAGGAAAACTGGACCCTGTGGACCCTGGACTGGATTCACAGGATCCTCCAGGGTGGTTTGTACCCCCAACAAAAGGAGCCTAGATTCCCACTTTGCACATCACAAGACTGTGAAGCAGGATGATCTGGGATAGCACTGCATCGGGAGGCTGCAGCACTTCCCTGGGGAGAAGTTCCCTATGAATGCCAATGTCACAAACCCAGACCTCCAAATAACCTCTGCAGCCTGCCAGCATGCAGTGTGCATGTCACCAGCCGCTGTCCCCCTCCCAGCAGCTCCAGGCCCACAGTAAGCAGCCTAGCCCTGCCCTTGCTGGTGACAGTATTCATGTCCCATGGAGGTCCAGCTTGGAAGACAGGGAGTTGGGTTTGCTGGTGACAGCAACTCCCGCCCATGCAGGGGCCGTGGCATTGTGCACTGGTTGTGGCTACAGCAAGCAGTGGCAGTGCCCTGTGGCTGGGTGCAGAGTCCATCAGCTCTCCATGCAGCATTCCCAAGGTCAGCCAGTTCTCCTGCCAGGCAAAGCCTTTTGGGCACATAGGGCCGAGTGGGACAGGGACACCAGGCACAAAAGGGTAGCCAAGCTGGCTGTACGGGGAGGCAGCTGGAGGCTGAGACAGGGTTGGGATAATCAGTGTTTAAGGGGGAAAATTTGCCTGGGGAGGGGGACTCCTGCTTGGGAAACTGATGGGAAGGGACCCTTGCTGCTACAAAGGGAGAGGTGCAGCGTCTGTTCACATGGCATTTCCCTCAACACTCGGCCACTCTCAGGCACTTCTGGCCTGGATGCCAGGACGCACTGCTCCCGCCTGCATTCCAATAGGGCCCCAGTGCCTCTTTCCTCTGCCCTTCGGCTCTCCCCAGCACCGCATCCTGCTGTCCCTGCCCTGAGCAGCAGGGCAGCATCCCGCACATCCCTTGCTGGGCTCCCAGGGCTGCCCGGAGCTGGGCGCTGCGCAGGCTGAGCGGGCGGCGGAGCCGAGCCAGGCAGTCTAGGTGGTGCTATTTCTCTATTTTTGCACTGCACGGGTTTGGGATTTTCCTCTCCCTATTCGCTGCCGGGGTCGTCTTCTTCTCTCTCTCTCTCCCTCTCTCTCTCTCTCTCTCTTTTTTTTTTTTTTCTTTTCCTTTTCTAAAAATACTTGACAGCGATTGAAAGGTCCCTTTAATCGAGGCCACAGAGCCCTTATTAAGGGCACGGGTCGGGGTGCTGGGCCGTGCCCAGCATAACGGCTTCATTAAACCCTGCGAAAACTAATATTTATGGAATCAAATTTATGGAGGCCGAGGCCGAACTTGTGGCCTTTAATGTGTGTCGGGAGCTCAAATCCAGCTGGCTCCAGGGAGGAGGGGGTGGGGACAGTGAAGGAGACCCCAGCAGGACAGCATGGGACAATGTGAAGTGACATTCCCAGGAGCTGGCAGCAACCTGGGCCAGGGAGGAACCAGTGGCCCCATGCTGGAGTCCTGAGGGCCAGGGTCCCTGTGGTTCCCTGGGGAACATTGGCAAAGCTCTTTTTCCTACTGTCTTCACTCTCCTGCTCTTATTTACCCCCCATCCATGCTCCCTCATCCCCACCTCCCCTTGCCTTGGGAGAGAGGTGAATGGAACAAGATCTGTCCCTGCAGCAGGTCTTCAGGGCTGCTGGACACTCCACAGAGACTTTGCAGCAGGGCAGGGCTCATGAGCAACATCCCTGCAGCATCCCTGGGACTGGCTCCCCTGATCTGTGTGCCCCAGGGACAAGCAGAGACACAATAATTCACAGGAATGACCCAGGGATGCAGGTGCTGGTTTGCACTACCCACTTCTCCCCTACAGAGTCCACCAGCCACTGGCACAGCCAGGTTGGGATTGTTTCAGCCCTGCCTCTCCCTGTGATGTCTCCTCAGACCCAAAGGAATAGACAAGCCAGATGCCCTCACTGGGGTGATAAGGACTCCTGCTGAACATGCTGGCAGGCACGGGGGAACAGCACAAACCCCAGAGCCAGCACAGAGCTGAGGGACGAGGCTCACAACAGAGCAGCTCCTGCGCCAGAGACGGAGTCCATACGGATGGAGCAGGGGCTGCACCAGGGACACCCTGGTGACAGAAGATACAGGAAGCTGTTAAGCTGCTAAGCTCCTGCTGCCTTCAGGTCCTCCCCTTCAGCTAGTAGCAGGACCCTCCCTGGGGGCAAGTTCCCAGCAGGCAGACTCAAAGCTGCGAAGATAAGATGTTTGCAGATGGGAAAATGCAGGATACATAAGCTACGGCAGTCGGCACAAACTCCCCATCCCATGGCTTTCCCTTCCCACCACCCACCCTGCCCTGCATGCTGCTCCCTCAGAAAGGAAATATAAAAAGAACTGGTTGCACTCACCCTGGGACTGGTCGGCTGTGGCCCAGCAAAGGCCCTTTCATTCCCCTTCCACAGACACAGGGACTGCTCCGGATGTTTTTGTTTCCCCCTTGCTGCCCAGGAGAACAGGCAGCATGACTGCAGCTGGCCCAGCCCCAGGGACCAGGGCAGCTGGGGGCATGGGTCCCTGTCCCAGGAGGGCAGCACCACTGGCTGCAGCCTGCCTGCTGCCTGGCTCTCTGCCTGCTGTTTTAGGACCTGGCTTGGGCACGGGAATGGAGTCCCAGTCCTGAAGGAAGCATGTGGACACAGGGGCTAGAAGAGGAGAGCAGGAGTGGGTGGATGGATGGATGGATGGATGGATGGATGGATGGATGGATGGATGGACGGATGGTGTGTGAAAGGATGGAAGTGGTGTTTTGTGTCCAGGAAGCATCTGTAGCCTGCTCCAGGGCTGCTCCCAGGCCTGGCAGCATTCAGTGTGTTAATGTTTTGGTTGTCTCCTGCTCCTTGGAGGCCAAAGCATGGGTCAACCCCATATCACCTGCCCAATGAGGTGCCTGCAAATGTAGGGTGTCCCTCAGCCTATCCAGGGCCTTTGCCAGCCTACTTCTGCAGGCACCAGCACACAGGGTGTGTATCCTGGTATGGGACAAGAACACAGGCTCCAGCTCCCTCAGCTGTGTCCCCATGATCTGGGCATCCTCTGGTGCACAGCCCAAAACACGTACTGCTGCTCAGGGTGAGGCACAGCATGGCTGGGAGCTGTGTGCAGTGCCACAGCAATGAGCTGCTGTCACCTCACTGTCCAGAGTCAAAGCAAGCCCCTGGGACATCAGGACTGGCCTGAGAGGGACCCA